CGTCGCCTCGCCGCCCCGGCCGCCTCGCCCATCATCAAGAACGCCGTCTCGCTGCCGCAGCTCAACGAGGGGACGTACGACGGTGGTGGTGGGGGCCGGGGCTTGACCAGCAAGTTCTCCTTCAAAAGTTCCTCCAACAGCTTCTCCAAAACACACCAGGCCTACGGTGAGTGAAGCTCGGGGCAGAGGCTGATGCTCAGGCACAGTGCATCCTCTGCAGCCCTTCTCCATCACTCCAAGCTTCAGTTTCCCCATTGGGGGACTTTAGGCTCTCAGCAGAGACAAGGTATTTAAAAGTCCCCGGTCCTGGTAGTCCCTGTGAGTAGATATAACCCTAACCTTGCTTTTAACCACAGTCCTTGCTCCTGCCCTTGGAGGGTCTTCTCCCAGCATGCCCCACTTTGTGGGGCACGGATGGTTCCTCCTCCCCCATAGCCCCACACAGCTGTGTGAAACAGCTGTAAGGGGGTGCCCCCCATTTCCTCCCAGCCCTATGCCTTCCCCATGAGCAACCTCCCCAAGGAAGCCAAGAGGGTGCTGGGACCGTGGGGCAATGCCCACACCAAGGCTGCAAGGCCAAGGGGACCCAAAGCACTGCCTTCCCCACCTCCACACAAATGCTCCAACCCTGTCCCTAGCTGTGCTGGCACGCCTCCATCTCCATGTGCTCCTCAAGGGACTCCATCCCCCCCCTTTCCCATCATGTCCGCATCCCTCCCTGCAGGCTGGGGTCCAGGAGAGACCTTTGGGGAAGGGCTATGGGAAGGACGGGATGGGTGGTTGCTCTCCGGCCTCAGGGCACTGGGCGGTGGCTCAGCTTTTCCCCAGGGAGGGAGCTGTGGAGCAGAGGGTCTGGGAGAGGGGGATCTGGGGGGCCTGCAGCAGCCGGGGGAGGTGGCTGGGCTCAGAGGAGAAGGCAAGCTGAGGCAATGCTGCCATCTCCTGGTCCCACCTGCCTGACTCAGCCCCCACCGGCATCTTACCAAGCCCAGAGCCCACCTGGAGAACCTCGGCTGTAAGCGGGCTTTGGAGATGTCCACACAGACACTGGCCTGTCCTTTAGAGACCAGCGCCACCGACGGGAGCGTGACCCATGCCACCGCGGTGGCAGTGTCCCTTGTCCCTGCAGACGTAAGGCAGGCTCCCTCCCTCCTAGCTGTGCCCCCCTCACCAGCCATCCCTTCTGCCTCGCAGGGCTGGAGTCCGGGTTTTGCACCATCCCTCGCGTCCCTCGCTCGGAAAAGGCCCAGGAGAGCACCTACCCCGGGGAAGCAGAGCTGAAGCGCTCCGACTCCCTGCTCTCCTTCCGCCTTGACCTGGGGCCCTCCCTGATGAGCGAGCTTCTCCAGGTGATGAGCTTCTCCGAAACCAACGGGAGCGAGGTGGGGGAGGATGGCCCAGACCTCCCATGTGGTGAAGGGACCAGGGACAGGGTCCCTCTGACATCGGGTGCATCCCATGGAGAGGACAAGGAAACGGCCAGCTTCTGGGACCGCTCCAGGCAGAGCAGGCTGTCAGGGGCCAGCTCGCTGCCGGGACTGTCTGTCCATGCCAATGGAGAGGCACACGCCATCGAGGGCGCTGGAGAGGACCCTGCCTGGGCTTTGGGGCCGGGGGCAGCGCCCAGAGGGACCCCGTGGCAGGGGCACTGGAACGACTGCACCATCGAGGCGGGAGAGTTTGACCGGGCGGCCCAGGTCCTGGCCCGTCATTACGGTGGGACCAGCACCCCGCGGAGCTCAGAGAAGGGTGAGGGTCCCCGGCAGGCCCGGACGCAGACCCAGTGGGAGAGCCCCAGCAGCAGCCTGTGGCGGGCGCAAGGGACAGGGGGGGGGCGGGCCCCCGAGGGCC